GTGTGTCATGTATTGAGCAGATTTTGCAATTTAAACAATATATAATCGTTTAAATGAGCAAAATCTGTCATCCCTGAAATCAACGCCTCATGTCTTTTTACAAAAGTCTACATCGTGAATTTTTTATTTGCGCTGAATTCTTGGATACAAAATTGTCGGGAAAGTCAAATTTTGAGACTCTCGATCGTAAGTGTCCCGACTGAAGACCGTCACTAAAGCACGACTCCCATGCAAGATATGTAATTATGGTTGATTCTGGTTAATTTTTTCTACGCTTTAATTTTGTTTATAAGCTGCAATGTTTTAATGGATTTTGAGGCGGAAAAAAACGTGCAAAGAGTTTTCGTATCAAATTTGGTTGCAATTTCTAAAGATTTGCTTATTTCTATTTCCATATTATTATTATTATTATTATTATTATTAGTATCATTATTATTAAAAGTCACTGAAAAGTCACTTTCAATTATACTGTCGTCTTGTATCCAAGTATTTATCTGATTATTGAATTCGGGTTTCGTATCAACTGAAGAATTATGGAGATCCATACGGCCTCGGCGGATAACTCCCTCCGAGATCTCCATAATTCTTCAGATGATACGAAAGCCGAATTCAATAATTGTTTTATTATTTACTCAAAACAATTCCTAGTTTTAAAACAAGCTAAAAAATGCTTACCTCCATCGATGTTAAGGCGTTTTGATATACATGTAGTTTTTTAGAGGCCATACCGGTATTTTTCAATCGCTTTAAAAGTGATTTTCTCCTTGTCTGATCGCTATAAAATTTTTACCAATGATTGACTATAGACTGAAATTTGTCAAAATGTAGGTTTTAGTAAAATCGATATTACAATGACAACAATAAACAAAAAAACTTTGAAATGGATGACTGAAAATCCAACACTAGGAGCTTAAGAGTGCATCCACGAAAGAACCAGGCAGGGGCGGCACATGCCATCTAACCGATTTCGATGAAACTTGGCCAGTTTGAAGGGGTCCGCCCAAAACTACTTCCCTCTAAGTTTAAGGAAATTTGGTCGAAACCGGGGGGAGTTGACCACCCCCCCTTGTTTTTTTTTAAAAATAGTGGAGAACTTGAGCAACCTTGTCGTGTCTCCAGTTTTTATACTGGTTTTGAGCTAATTTCTTGCATTCTGCAGTTATATGGCTATCGGTTTCCGCTCTTTCTTTCCCAGTTTCTTTACTGAGTAAAAGAGAAACAAAGGAAATTACCATTTAAATTTATGTATGCCTTTTGTTTGTCTTGTCTCAGTGCGACTTTTGCTCTCCAACATGGCGGTTTTGTACCACGTGAATGGCTAGCTGCGAAGGGCCTGTTCGTCTCCTTTGTTTTTTTTTTCTCTCGTCCTAGCCCTCTGTCGCTCAGATCTTTTTCTCGTTGAGCTTCGATAGCCTGTTGCCTACTTTCTCGTTTTCTCTATATTCCAAATTTGTGGACATGACAATTAATCTAAGCTTAATACTTTAGAAAACACGGTTATAGAAACAATTTCCGCTTTACGTTTTGTCTTCATTGACTCTTTAGGGCCGAAGACGATACCTATCCATAAATAAATTCATAAGGCAAAATTTTGTTCGTGCTACATCTTTTAAAACGCTTATATCTCGGCTGTTTTAGAGGCGATTTATTAGATACAATTTATACAGAGACCTTGTGAAATGATGGAAGCTTAGGAGAGTTGTTTTTTATTTGGTAGATCGTGCTTTACAGCGATGCTTTAATTATATAAGCCACAGTTGTACCGAATTGGGAAATCGTGATTCTGTGTACAAGTTTGCCGAGGGAATAGAAGACAGCACTCCGTGATTTCATTAATGAATGATCGGTCAAAACCTCGAGTGTGTCATGTTTTGAGCAGATTTTGCAATTTAAACAATATATGATCGTCTAAATGAGCAAAAACTGTCATCCCTGAAATCAACGCCTCATGTCTTTTTATAAAAGTCTACCAAGTTTACCCCTTTGCAGCGCCACATCGTGAATTTTTTATTTGCGCTGAATTCTTGGATACAAGTACTCTTAGAAAACGAAGTTCGTAAGCATGTTTTGTAGAATGAAAAGCCTTTGAATTAAAAGTAACGAAAAAATATATACGCATCAACAAAGACTCTTTACCAGCGTCGCGGGTAGCAATCGCTTTTGTGATAACATATTTCCTCGAATAAGCGCTTACCCCAAGGCCATTCTATCAAATAAGCGCCGCCTCTTCTTCCCCCCAACCCCTCCTCCTTTCGCCCTCACTTTCTTAACTTAGTTGGTACACAAGGAAGACCAGTATCTATTGCCACTTATTTATTGCCATTTATTTACTTTTTAGCCTTCACATACAGCGGAATCAATACAGGCTAATAGTTTCTTTTCCGTTAAGTTACTTCCAGTTGCTTCTATATCCATTTGCGAGAAGGGTTCCTTCATGTGCGTTACGTGTATAGACTATGGTGCACTTGATTATCAAGCATTGTTTAAACAAACGAAAGACTTCATTGACTTGACGTTTGTACGGATAATGTCGTAGTTTTTGGTTTCGCCACAATAAAGTTACAGTTCTGTTTATAGAAACGTAAGAAGCGCCCTCCTTCCAATAAGCGCCAATCCTTTTAGCTAAATTTGACTGGAATAAGCGAGTGGGCACTTATTCGGGGAAATAGGGCATGCACGACTGATTTTACCTCGAAAGATGATTGACAGCTTGTACTTTAAGTAATATGCTTTGCCGGCAAATGTGAAGCCATTTTTTCTACAGAACGACCTAAGATTTTCAAGTGCACCACAGGCCACCCGGGTACTATGATAATATAAAAATTTTTTATATAAAATGACGACAGCCAAGTATCACAACAGTACTTTTCCAGTAAAATCACAGTGTTTGTATGAGGTAAAAATACCACCCTAAAATTTGTAGGAAATGCAAAATAAAAGTCAACGAAACTTACGCTATACAGATAGTTGTTGTTGTCCTTAATTCTCAAACGAAGTTTCGTCAAAATTTTCTCAAATTCAACGTCAATACAATATAATACATAAGGTGGGAGGCACAAGATGAAGACTCAGCCGCCATCACTCTCCTTCCAACACAACTTTTTTCATGAAATTCAAACACAAACGGTAAATAAACACGCTAGGCTTGTCGAAATAGGACAGCCCCAGATATGGAAACCAATGAAGCTCTCCCAACTAGAGAAACGAATACAGCAGACTTTGAAGCCTGCGTGCAGACGATAACTAAACTCTGATTAGTTAACCAGAGTTTAATTTCGTCTGCGCGCAGGTTACAGACTTTGCTGACGAGGACATAATCAGAAAAGGGCCGAAACTTAAGGAATGGATTCGAGCTTTCGGTGTCGTGTTTATGTCCTGCAAAGTTAATTTTTATGTAATAAGATCAGCTTTGATCGATGCTAACCTGTTGCATACCTGTCACAGCTTCTAGAACCTTTTTGTAACACAGATGGTCTCAGAGCCCTTTAACTAATAAACGAAGTAGCTAACTATTAATTGTGCATAGACTGATGCTAAATAAACGCTGTATTACTTTGTCCCGGCAAATTTTCACCCTACACCTCAGAAGAGGTATTAAGAGATTTTGAAGGATTTTGAGTTCGCTGATTACTATGAGGCGACTATGCCTTCTAATAGAGGCAACGAAGAGCGGGTAAAGCGGCCAACTATTAATTTTTGAAGGATTTTTTATCACTCAAAATATCACTTCTGAGGCAAAAGGAGGGCAATAAACTACGGGTAAGGTCATACAACGTTTATTATTTAGCAGTGATCCAGTACATATATTTAGCAACACGTTGCTACAGAAGAAGCAAACGGTAATCCAATACATTTACTATAAACTTCCAAACGGTTACACATGTACAGATTGTGTGGGCGTCCTGTGGTTCTCCAAGGAAAACTTTCGAGGAAGACTGGGACGATTTTGCGTGACAGGAAAGGCAGAAGTTCGAAGTGAGAAAATGAGCGGAGAAATCGAAGAATCTCTGCCACAAGAGCCTCAAATAGAATGCGAGGCAACAGGGTCAGATGCAGAACATGAACGAGGAGGAAAACAAGCGAAATTCGATGATGAAGATAGTGACAACGACTCCACAGTAAGCAGTTCGAACTCGAATTCAACCCAAGCTTCCATCGCAGGAAAACGAGGATTTCGAGGCAAAGGAAGAAAGAAACGAAACTTAGCCTTCAGATGTGTTAACTTCCTCAAGGTAAATGAATTGCGACTAATAAGAATTTTTTTCAACTGTTTCGTGGCAAATGCTCCTCGCAGGTTAAAAAAGAATTTATTTTCCCGCGCAATGTCAATTATTTATTGTTAACCTGTTTACCACGTGCTTTGAATTGCGCATTGATTGAAATCACTACAGTGAGTTCATTCTGATGCTCGAGAGAACATTAGGGACCATAGGGCATTGGGATATCTTATTGACTATTATGAAAATGTTATACATGAGAATCTGCTCAAGCGGATGGATTTTAACAGATTTGTATGATTGGTCGACATGATCATGTCATCAATTTTTGGGACTTTAGCTGGGNAGGAAGAAAGAAACGAAACTTAGCCTTCAGATGTGTTAACTTCCTCAAGGTAAATGAATTGCGACTAATAAGAATTTTTTTCAACTGTTTCGTGGCAAATGCTCCTCGCAGGTTAAAAAAGAATTTATTTTCCTGCGCAATGTCAATTATTTATTGTTAACCTGTTTACCACGTGCTTTGAATTGCGCATTGATTGAAATCACTACAGTGAGTTCATTCTGATGCTCGAGAGAACATTAGGGACCATGGGGCATTGGGATATCTTATTGACTATTATGAAAATGTTATACATGAGAATCTGCTCAAGCGGATGGATTTTAACAGATTTGTATGATTGGTCGACATGATCATGTCATCAATTTTTGGGACTTTAGCTGGGTGCAAGAACCTGTGAACATTTTCATTGCGTCTTACCTTTTTTTTTCAGGTTCTGTTTTGTTGACTTCTTTGTTTCCTTTGTTTTATGTCACTCGTGAGTTTTACAGGTTCTTACACCAAGGATGAACCAATTTTAGCTTTTTTGGAGATGCGATATAAGGAGAGGTTTTTTTAGGGTTAATTTATGATGTCTCGCTAGGGTCACGATTGATTGATGACCATGATATTTACCATTGGTTGCTTACCCTGGTTCTCTCAGCATGTATGAGACACATTGTCGCTTTCACCATGTGAGGTACAAATTATAAACAATGATTGAATGAGTTTTTTGTGATATCCAGAATAATCAAGATCGCGGTAAGCATTATAGCCAGGCTGAAGGGGATCTTGTGTAATTTGTGAACCCCGCGACTGAGTATCGTTTGGCACTATCGGCCATTATGTCAAGTATGGGTCGACTCTCGATGGCCATTTCGGTCGACTGTTGGTCGACATGTCAATCAATATGTTGGTCTACGCGCAACTGATATGGCGGTCAGTGTATCGGCCAACATATCGGTTGACATGTCGACACTATCGGCCGATCTGTCAGTCAACATGTCAGCATTCTCTCGGTTGACTATCAATCAACACATCAGCCAACATGTTGACTGAGAGTCGGGTGACAGATGTCAGCGGAGAGAGCGACTGTGGGTTAGCCAATATGTCAACCGATCAACCAATATGGCGACCTAGAATTGGCTGACATATCAGCCGACATGTCGATTGAGTATTGGCCCATAGTGTTGACCAATACTCAACTGAGGGGTGCACAAATTACACAAGATCCGCTGAAAGCCGAGGCTGATAACACTTATAGAGACCTAGATTATTTTGGATATCACAAAAACCGAATCCAAGGCTGTGCTCTAAGGAAAATTGAAGGGAGCCCAGTGTTTTAACCCTGTAAAATCTAGGGTGCCCAGCATATGATTTGTACAAAAAACTAAGATTTTCTAGTTGCCCAAAAACAAATGTTGGGTGCCAGGGTCCACCGGCCTCTGCTAGAGCACAGCCCTGGAATCTAATGATTGTTTTTTATACATTGTTTTGAAGAAAATAAGGACAAACACACCAACATATGGAAAACAGTTTGACATCGCTCTTGTAAATCATGCATTGCGCACACAACCTACATTTTAGTTAGTTATCTGCTAGCAGATAACAGACTAATCTGTAGGTTGCACTGATTTCCAAAATGAACTGTAGGCTCTCAGCCAATGAGAAGACAAATACTGAGTATGATATGTAATCATACCAATGACTGGAGCTACGGTTGTCAAGCAGTGCCCAACGACCAATGGTCATGAGACCAACAATATACACCTATACCATGATTTTTTACATCTGAATTTATCATAAATAAGCCATAATGAATTACGTCTTATTACTTTTGTTTGGCAAACCCAAGACAGTTAAATCTCCTTACATGTAATACAGAGCCTTGTTGGAATTGTACAAACTTTGGAATACAGCTGAACATCCTTGTGTGACCCCCTCTCATGAGCGACCACCTATCCAAAACACCAAATGGTTGGAATCTCTCATAAACAACCACCTCTTGTGAACAACTGTGATCACTTTTTAGGATGACAGTTTTGGAAGTTTTTCATTGTTTTTAACCTCTTCTAAACAACCATCTGGTAGAATGCTCTTAAATCTTTGTGTTGGCAGTATGTACTATAATGCTACTCTTTTTTGACAGGAAGATCATAAACAGCCTATATTTGCTGTTCAGTTTAACTACAATGTACCTGAGGGAACAGAAGATCTCCATTTGTTTGCAACTGTTGGAAGCAACCGGGTAAGTGATATAGAAAAAGGGACTGCTTGCTCTTAGTGGCCCCTTGTAAGTTTAACTTTTGTCTTTAGGTGACTTGGAAAATCAACGATGTATAATACGTAGATTTGGTCAAGCCTTAAAAGGGACATTTCCATTTTATATTCTTTTAATTTATTTGAAACATTTAAGTTTAGCCATTGTAAGAAATCCACAAATCTCTACTTCACCTTAGGGGGAAGGGTTGGGTGATTTCAGAAAAAAAATGATGTGTGGTAGATCGAGCAGCAGATCACTTTAATAATTTGAGCTGTGTAGGAGGAGATGTGTGACTGAGAAAGTTAATAACTGGGTGTGCTGTTTTCTTTTGATGCAGGTAACAATCTACCAGTGTGAAGCCAAAGGAGTGGTCAAGCTGCTTCAAGCTTATGCTGATGCTGATGTATCTTTTTACTGACTTTGCCATTAGTTTTACTTTAATTAGTGTTATTACTTACTTATTTATTCCAATTGGAGACATTTTGTTGACCTACGCTTGAAATGCATGGTATTGAAACAAAAGTCAAACCACCATGTGCGACTTCCTCTCATACGTTGTATAAAGCGACCATCTATCCAAAACACCAACATTTGCCCTGTCATATTACTACATTTGAAGCCTCTCATAAACAACCACCTGTCCTAGCAACCACGACCACTTTTTAGCTCATGGATGACGTAGAGGGTACTAGTAAGGCGAATTTTTTTTCCTGAGATGGGTTTTGTATAAATAGCAATATTTTAAAGAACACTGATAATATCATCCGCAAGAAATGGACTTAGAATTGTTAAAAGGACATTGAAATAATTGAGCGTGGATCATTATTGTGTATTTGAACGAATTGTGCACATTTGTTCCGGATATTGTACTTGATATGGAGAAGATGCGATCAACAGGAGCGTGAAAGAGCTATTGCAGCCTGACGATAGGATTTCGTTCAGCGAAAAGCGAATAAGCCAAAGAGCCTTATAATCACTGCAAAAAAACTGTCCTCGAATTGTTAAAGGGACATTGAGGAGTATCTATTGAGGTTTATTCAGTTATTTGGACGAATCCGTTCGACCATTTGTCTTCGTATGCAAACAGGGAATGAATTAATGTTCTGTCAACTAGAAGCACAGGTTTTAGAACCAACAAGCGTTAAGCTATTTTGCTTGGATTCTTAGGTGATCTTTGCCTTAAAGTAGGCTTTTGTTTGTCGGTGATTCCATTTAGCAGTGCTATTAATGTAATTTCTACAAGAAATGCTGCGCTGGTATAAACAAGTCTCTGGCGAAAGGCAATCGGATACTTCGACTGCGTTTAAATTACTTGGCTAGGTCAGAGCACGTACTGCTTTGAGCTTAATTTTACATGTATTAAAATAATTTTTAGCTCGTGTTTATCAAAAGCGCGTTCTAAAGCAGTTCAATTTAGCCATAAACGCCTGTATTCTGTATTTAATATAGCTCGTACTGCATATACTAACCGTTACGTACTCATCATATGGAAACATTTATTTGAAAGCATCGCACTTCTAAAACCACGGTTTAAATAAAACTCATGTATGTAAAACTTGGCTATTTTACAAGAAAGTGCACTGTCGTTCGGAAAGTGTTTGACAGTCAGATGAGAAAGCAAACTATTTTACAACTAAAAAGCGTTAATAATTGCTTTTAAAAGTGATCTTTGCTTTGTAAGTAGAAATGCTGCGCTGATAAAAAGTTTCTAGAATATTCAGGTACACATGCAATCGGATACTTCGAGTCACGCTGTATTTTGGCAAGTCCGTACATAATGAACCGTTCAAAAAGATTAATATGTTTTTCTGTGATTATTGAACTGTCTTTTCTACACTAATTCAATTCATCCATGAGCTCGCTCCTAGGAGCCTTTGATTTGGATGATGGTGTCCGAATCTTTCTTTATTTTTAGCCTCCTGTTTGCAACTATTATTTTTGAAGCAAGGTTTCATATTTTTCTTTGCTGTACGTAGTACATTACACAGAGTGTGCGAAGAACTTTTAGTGACAACAGAAAACTACACATATCATAAATTAGAAATTGCATGCAATGAATTCTCTTTCAGAATGTTGATGAGTTTGGATGCCTTCTAGAATGGGGCCACTATGGTTCAACTCTTATCCATTAAATGTTTGCATCTTGTGTGGTTGATTATGGAAGGTTCAGCTATACTCTATCGTTACTGGACACCTTATTTGTAATTGAACTAAAACAGCTTCTGGTCACTGGAAAATATTTACTGTTTCCATTGAGCAGTGATCATTCATTTCAATGTCGGCAAGTACATGTAACAGCTGTCTTTAAATTGCTTGCTATCTTTTCAATCTCTAATCACCCCATTGAAGTCAGAGTCGACTAAACACAATTGTAAATAAAAATGTTCACCAAAACATAAAAGAAGAAAAAAAAATTCCCTTAACTTGTTGTAGCCAGAGGAAAGTTTTTACACCTGTGCCTGGTCATATCATCCTGACACCGGGGAGCCATTACTTGCCGTTGCTGGGACAAGAGGAATCATCAGATTCATTAGGTCAGTGCTGTTTTTGTTTTGTTTTAACTCTTGCCAAGTATTTCAGGGGTTTAGTGAGAAATTTTCCATAAGTACACATCTCCAAAGTCATTTTTACTCCAGTGATTACAGTGTACACTAAAACTGTATCATTCACCATGTCATATGACTGAGTGAATTATTAAGTGAGGGGAAATTTACTCTCCAGTCCCCCAAATCCCAATTTCAGAAGACTTCACAACTTACAAATTACTCACCTGTTTATATACTTCATAATATCAATGATAAGTCTTTACCATTAAATCATGGAGAAAATTACATATATACTGAAGTTATAGACAGTTATAGACTGTTTTTATTTTATTTATTTTTTGCAGTCCAATCAGCATGAACTGTATCAAGGTAAGTGTGAACAATTTTAGTTGAGAATTTGTAAATTCCATTTTTATAGCATTAAATGATTGTGTTGTATTTCCTCTTCAGCATTACATTGGTCATGGTGGAGCTATAAATGAACTTAAGTTTCATCCGGTGGATCCTTATATACTTCTTTCAGCAAGCAAAGGTGACAACCATTTTGTTGAGTGATGTACTATATTCAAGATGGAGTGCTAGTGTTTTCTTACTTTATAAAGAGAAACCAAAATGTGTACAGTAAAAACTGCATTAAGCAGACCAAGGAAGAAAGGAATTGTGGGGAGCCAATAAGCTCTTAAATGTACAAAGAAATTAAAACGGAATCCATCAGGAAATTGAGTAATTTTAATTTTCAGTGGACAAAAACCTTATACCAGAACAATTTAAAGCATACTGCATTCCTTTTTACACTTTTCAACCAGTTATTTGTAATAACACCAAAGACAATTTTTTATGGGAGCCTGAGAAATCAATCTCAAATTGCACAAAATGAAATTTTTACGAATGAAATTTTACCTTTGTTTTCACAATTCCTCTGAAATTTGAAATTTATTTTCTGGGGCTCTCATAAGAATTTTTGTCTTTTGGTGTTGTTACAGATAACCAATAATTTTTATTGTATTATAATCTATAGCCCTTGAAAAATGTAAAAAAGAATGCAATATGGTTTTGATTATTCTGGTACAAGGGTTTTTTCCTCTGAAAATTTCCTGATGGATTCCATCTTAATACACATATGAATAACTAAAACATGTTGGCAAAGCAGTCAACATTTCAGACTTAAGATCTGTTGGTCTGTCTGTTCAAGCTTTGTCCTTGTGTTCTTTCCTAAGATAATACACTTTGCGTAATTGTGTATTTATATCTTTATTTTTATTATTAACAAGGATGTTTAACTGTAATATTGTTGGCAGATCACAGCCTGAGGTTATGGAACATCAAGACAGATGTGCTAGTTGCTATATTTGGTGGTGTGGATGGACACAGAGATGAGGTCCTTAGCACAGTAAGTCATAAATTAATAATGCCGTTTTGAGCTGATCTCGCTTATGAAAGTTACAGTCAACCATTTATTTTCATTGTCTTTTAACCTAATTTTAAGGACTTTGACATCCTTGGTGAGAAGTTGGTGTCTTGTGGAATGGATCATTCTCTTAAGATTTGGTCACTGGAAACTGATGCTGTCAAAAAGGTAAAATTGAATCTTGTATTTGTTTTGTTTTGTCTGTTTGCATCTCGTCTTAAGTTTTCTTTTTTCTGTGTGTTATTTGAGAACCAGATCTTAAACTGTATAAGTTCTCAGTGCATGTATAGCTCGCAGATTCTAGAATTCAAAGCCCTGTAAATAACCTTGTATTGATCACTGTAATCGGTCACATTTATTATACATACAATAATTTTAGTGAGAACGGTGGACGTTGTTGAAGAAATTGATCCTATCAAGTGTCAAGACGATAATAAACCGAAAAACCGGAGTTTTTTTTAAATGAGTTATGCTACCTTGTGTCTTACTGTTGTGAATAGGTTACGAGCAGTCTCTCTTTTTTCTTAGCTCGTCGAGCAAAACGCGCAAGACACAAAAATTACCACGCGCGTGACTGAAGGCGTTTCTCGCGTCGAGCGGCCACTCCCCATTCTAACTCTGAAGAAAAAGAAAGACTGCTCGCAGTCTACACTGTGAATGATTAAGTAGTGCTGGGGCGTAAGTGAACCATACCGTTCAACTTGCCTTTTTGGATCTTTCCAGTTTATACTATTTTTTTGTAAAATAACTGTCTATGAAACAGATTAAAACTATTATGACATTGCTTTCTCGTGTCAGTTTTAGGAAACATGAAAAGGTATTGCTGATACTTGGAAATTCTTTTCTTTTTTTTCCTAGGTTATCAAGGAGTCTCATTCTTACGATGCAGGCAACACTGAAAAGTAAGGTCTCTTCTTTGCATTTACAACTGCTAGAAATAATAGACATACTAACCATGTCAGCCGTAGCCGGCGAGCAAGCTCTCTGGGGCGCTCTGGCGGCGGGGCGGAAGCTTGCAATAACGATGCGAAATGTTGATTGGTGGAGATGACGTTATTAATGACGTCATCACCCTTGGCAGGTATTTTTCAATGTTTGCTTACATTCGCGCTCGTTTCCGCTTCGCGCTGATTGGCGAAAATAAGACAGCTCAGTCGACGGGGAGCCACTGGGGAATTGGACGTGGAATTCAAATTCCAGAGACAGAGTTGCAAGCTCTCCTTCCTTTTCCCGCCCTGCCGCCAGAGCGCCTCGGAGAGTTTGCTCACAGGAGATGTCAGCCATGGATATGTTGTGGTTCAATTTTGGTTTAATTTTATTTTCGTTTGTTTTGGGATATGGTAGTAATATGATAATGAGTTTGAAACAATGGAAAATAAAATTTATACCAAGGATAAAATTGAACCACAACATCCACAACTCTCAAAAGTATTGACTATGTGCGTGAAATACTTATGTGTGACGCTGGTAGATAAAATTTACCGCGCTTTTTTAGAAGTTAGTTTAACGTTGAAATATGTTTTTTCTGTGCTTGTGAGTGATGTTCGTTTCTCTTATATGTATTATAAGAGCTTTCGTGCTGTTGATAGATCTCGATCGTCTTCAGATAAACATTGGCCGGATCACAAATGAGTGCATCGATCTTGTACCTTTTTGACGGAGATTGATTTGAGCATGTGCGGCTTCATGGCGCTTAGTGACTGCGGCGTTGATCGTGTGGTGCATAGTACTGTTGTTCCTTTTTGTCTTGGCATCGTCTTTAGTGAGCTTAAGCAATGAGAACGCTGACGCCCGAGACGTCATGAATAGCAACCAGAGGCTCGATGTCTCGCTTGATGGAACAATTTTGTCTCACACAACGAATCTGAATGCCTTTGTTTTAACTCCCGCTGTACGAATTTGTCGAGGCTCAGTGCAATGAAAGAGAGAAAATATCAACTTCCGGCTGCCAGTTTTGACGTCCGGGACGTCAACGTTCTCGTTGCTTAAGGTTTCTCCCCAGACCAACGTTGTCTCTCGAACGTCCCGGTAACTTTTTGGGATGGAAGTCAAATATTCAGATCAAAATGTAAAGAACAGGAGCGCAGGTCCTAGCTAACAAACCAGTCCATTTTGTTTTGTTAACTAATAGTTTTATCATGTTATCTCTGCCACGGAGACCCCGTTAACTATCCGCACTTTCGAGAAACGGGCCTCAGAGGAGTAACCCTAGATTAGCACAGAATAGAAGTACTGTTGTTTGTTGCCTGCCTGTGGCTCGTACGGCTGTAGAGATTAGCTGATTTGCAAAGTTACTTTACTGTTGTATTTCAGAGCGTTTTCCTCGATCAAAGTCCACTTTCCGGATTTCACGACACGTGACATCCATAGAAACTACGTCGACAGTGTTCGTTGGTTTGGTGATCTTGTCCTGTCTAAAGTAAGATGTGTTTTACATGACGTATACATTCAAGTCGTGTAGTAGTAGAGTGCAGCCTTTAAATCTAATGCAGTTTGTTTCTTAAGAAAATTTTACAATCGATATTCCCTACGCAGCCGTTAGCTGTTTTATCCTCTCAAAGTCCCTCCATTTATTGGTATGGCATCCATTTAAACCTACATTCATATATTTTCTTTAATGACCCACTCTGTCTTCTTTGGCCATAAAGTAGAATAAATTCCGACCAACTTTTCAGGAATTGAGCGAATACTAGAATTTTGTCGCATTCCCTTTGACCTAAAAACCTTGCCTTCCGACTCTTTGCGAGTAGTTATTTTTCAAAGTTAGTGAAGGAGCAGCCATCTCGCAACGAAGGAGGAAGGAGGAACCCGCGAGGTACGAGGGTGTTAGCCTGAGAAGAATGTTTTTTCTCAGACCAACGTCCTCATTTCTTGAGCCTCGCGGCTTGGCCTCATGCCACACGTGTGGTACCCCCACTAACTTTGATAGAAAACAAGAACGTACTCACAGTCTGTGATGTTTGTCGATTGTGTTCAATTATTTACTTCAACTCTTGGAAGCTTTAATCGATATGGGTGTTNCCTCCATTTATTGGTATGCATCCATTCAAACCTACATTCATATATTTTCTTTAATGACCCACTTTGTCTTTTTTGGCCATAAAGTAGAATAAATTCCGGCCAACTTTTCAGGAATTGAGCGAATACTAGAATTTTGTCGCATTCCCTTTGACCTAAAAACCTTGCCTTCCGACTCTTTGCGAGTAGTTATTTTTCAAAGTTAGTGAAGAAGCAGCCATCTCGCAACGAAGGAGGAAGGAGGAAACAGCGAGGTACGAGGGTGTTAGCCTGAGAAGAATATTTTTTCTCAGTGTTATTTTTTTCTCAGACCAACGTCCTCATTTCTTGAGCCTCGCGGCTTGACCTCATGCCACACGTGTGGTACCCCCACTAACTTTGATAGAAAACAAGAACGTACTCACAGTCTGTGATGTTTGTCGATTGTGTTCAATTATTTACTTCAACTCTTGGAAGCTTTAATCGATATGGGTGTTAACCTGGTGCATTTCCTTTCAGTCATGTGAAAACTGTATTGTTTGTTGGAAGCCGCAAGAAAAATTTGAGGACATTTTCAAAGGGGTAAGATAAGCGAACTAGGGAACTGTATTCCATTCCCAGGATGCCATTAAGGTTTAGAATAAATTAATGAATCGTGAAGCGCGAAGGGTTAAAATATGAAAAAAATAATAAACCGGCAAAGCCAGGCAAAGGCAATCTTTTCTTTATGAACTGGTCACGAATTAAAGGCGGGAAAAACGTGCTAACCTTATAAATTAGGTTCGTGTTTATAGCAACTGGTAACGTATCAATACGGAGGGCGTGGAATAGGCTTCAACACAACCATTTGAATATACGTCTTGAGTGCAAGTTGGTCATCAAAATAACTTTGTTTTAACTATTTGCTATTTCCCACCTTCTACAATGTGAAATTGATATCATCCTTTGAAATTTCGTAGCGTCTTTCTGCAGGTATCGTCATCAAAGAATTAAAGGAACCAAACAAAAGAGCTGTCTTGTGGGCTTTATTGTTTGGTTGTATTGTTTCTTTTGTTGTGCGTAATTTGTAGTCTGTGCCTCGGTACCTACAGAAGTAAACCCTTTTCTTGACAACTCGTGCACTCTTCACAAAGCGATTTTTCTTTTAACCGAGAGGTTACATTTAATCAAACCTTATTAATTTGATATTCTCTTTGTTCCCAGCCTTTCAATTCGGAGCGAAGCGTTACCATGCTTCATAGGTAAGTAAAGTGATCTCATTTTGCTGATCATTCAATTGTAGATTGTCCCAGGTATTTCCCTAAATGGCTTTAAACTACTTATGTCTCTATTTTTCAATTCCTTCGTCAGATTTGAGTTTTCTCAGTGCGACATATGGTACATGAGATTCAGTTTAGACTACGAACAGAGGGTAAGAAAATCACATGTGTAGGATGGTTTAATTTAATCAGAATAGATGCTTCCAAAAACAAGTCTTGGAACGTTTCATGATAGGATTTTTTCATCGTTCGTTCAATTTTGTTATTTATAGCAACATTTCGACCGTTTTCTGACGGTATTCATTTAGTGATCACCGCGTCGATTTGTTTCTGTTTGGTTTCGTTGGCCCCATTAGTTTTCAACTTAAACTGGGGGCCTTTCAGACAAAATGGAGAACATTTATTATAGCCCCTCCCCTTGTACTCCGTATCCTTTCGTGTCAATGATATTCCTGTTAGTTGCATTTTGAGCAGGTTATTTATTATTATTTTTTTAAATCATCTCACCTAAGTAGCCATAACGTGTGGGTGTCGGTGTTTCTTTAGAGGGAGATATGAAGGGAATGATTACCTTCCTTACGCATTGTTTTCCCTCTCCGGCCTCCCTGCAGAAAAGCCTGATGCTCAACCTAGTATACAGGACATGGATCAGTAAAATCCATAACCTAGCACACATGTAGCTGAACTCTTCCCCTCCCCATCCCTGAGGGTACGTCCCTGCGTAGTTTTTGCTAGGGAGAGTGCGGGGTTACTATCGAACCAACAGTCCAACACGTACTGATTGTAAAAAATAATTAATGAATCCAATGATTAAATGGTTGGGTCGAATTTATTTACAGCTCATGGCTGTTGGAAATCAAACAGGAAAGACGTTTGTTTGGGATATTGGTGTGGAAGATCCAAGGAAAGCAAGGTAACACGTTTTAATTTCTCACTGGATATCACATTTTACCATTCGCTCCTTTCCTCGATTTGCTATCCCGCGCGACTGTCCCGTGGGAATGCCCGCACGGCCTAGTTCCCAGGCCCTCTCCTTTTCTGGTTAGAGGTTACTTCTCGCAGTCAAAGTTTGGTTGTTCAAAACAAGCTGCGATGCTTCAAAAGAACAGAATCTCCTTCTCTCAAGTGCCTAACTGAAGTCATGAGTAGACGGCCTGCTGGACTTTTTAGTTACAATATCGAGTTTTTTATTTGCCCAGATCAACAACGTTGGTTCACAACAAGTGTGTTTCAGCCATTAGGCAGACGGGCTTCAGCAAAGATGGCAGGTTAGTGAAAGGCAACAAGATCAATTTAGGTTTCTGGGAAACTGACCACCTAACCCTCCCCTAAGCCAACATTTTCCCTTAAGTGAGAAGTAAGTGTTAATGTTGACTTAGGGGAGGGGTGGGTGGTCAGTTACTCAGAAACCTCGATTATCCCTTACTGTCTTTACTTTTGAGGAACTGGCATCAAAGTTAGGTGATTTTTTTGTCTAACAATACTTCATTTCCTCGAGTAAGCGTCTCTTTTATCACCCTCACCCTTCACGAACAATAGTGAGAAGAATAGAAATGTGATGGGGAATTTTTAGCCTGTTGAGTAAGTAAGAAAGATCTCTTTTTTTTTCTTTAAGTCAGTGACATATACGGCTCGGAACCAGGTACTCTCAATAGGAGTCATGCGCACTGCCTTAATTCTGTTTGTAAATATGGCGGCTCTGGGCTGGCTCACTACACATAATAGGCTGATTTAGCAACAGAACGGGAACGTCAGTTGACGACGGCGCGCGCAAATCAAACAACTGGCTTGACCAATGGCAGAGCGGCAACACCGGAAGTCGTGTTTAGTCCTTTCCGCGCGTTTTCCCGTCGTCAACTGATGTTCCCGTCCTGTTGCTAAATCAGCCTAGTTATCGGGATTACAGTCACCTCGGGCCCTCGTCAAACCAAGCCAGTTCAGCCCAGGCCCTTTCTCGTTTACCTTAGCACATGCATTGCTTGACCGGGAGACAAAACAAATCAACAACTGAACAAGCGCCTTATTCTGATCAGCTGATATGAGGTGCATCGGTATTTCAAGGTTGGCAACTGCACATTAGAAAGACTCTTAAAAAAAACAAAGAGCTTCTTTCTCTGAAACCACTGACTTCTTTCGGTTTAATTTGTCGTAATTTGTCTTTTTTTGGTTTCTCTTTTGACTACAGGATTTTAATCTCTGTTTGTGATGATGGCACACTGTGGAGATGGGATAGAGTCAGATAACAACTTACTTTTTTTCAACCGGATCTTGTCGCTTTTTTGTATCATAACGCCCTATTTTTGCACTGTATATTCTTCTCTAACACGAAACCTTTGCGTAGAATTAAAAGTAGCTCTTCATATTTACGTTGCGTCTGTTGTTTTGATGACTTTCATGAACCCGGGGTCGTAAGACTGCTGTCCTTTTTAGCGGATTAAATAATTGAAAATCTCTCATGTTTAATGCAAATTTTCAACTTGACAGAATGCCGACTTTTTGAACCATTTTTGTTGCACAAGAGCATTACCGCCCGTGTCTCTGCCTTCGAAGTAACCTTTTGCTGCGCTAGGGGGCGAGAAGCGCGAGACACGCGTGACGGGGGTAGACGTAGAAAAATAGTAACTTCCTCCGTCGCTTGTGCCTCGTGCTCCACGCTTCCTACGCGCCTGAAGTCGCTCGCCTGAAAAAAAGCGAAAAAAAAATTTCTGGCCGCAGTTGTTCAATAGGTGGATAGCGCTATCCACTGGATAAATCTCCATCCAGTGGATAGCACAGTTGGTTTGCCCTAAATCCCTAATACTTATCCACTGTTCTACCGGCTATTGTTGCGCGCGCTTGACGTCTCCCGTTATTTATGACGTCACCGACAGCACCGAACGACCCCACATGAACAAAGCATGGACAACTCAAGTGCCTAGTTGCCTCTGAAAGTTGCTCATGACAGATTCTGGCAGGTTTCTTAAAGCGGATCAGTCTGCCGCATTTGCGATGAAAGAATTTGTGTACCAAAATGAGTCGAGCTGCGTAGTGGAGATTCGTTCCCCTGTGAAAGCAAGAAGTGAAACTTGTAAAACTTGTGAAGCCAGGAACAAACGACGGACAACATTTTACGCCAGAATCCGAAGCTATTTATTGGAAAGAAGAAATATTGAAGCAAAACTGAAGAAGTTTAATGTGAAGTCGCGTGGTGTGGTCAGCCCGTTCGGATTTCTTCGTCAACTTTTTGCAGGTTTATTCCAACCGGAAACGGAAACGAAATTCACCTACGAGGAGTTGGAAAAACTAACGGAGTCCCAGCTTGCCGAATTAAAAGAATCTCTTGTAAATTTAATGTCAACTAAAACAAAGGAACTTAAGCAGGAGCAGTTGGCTTGTATCGGTGAAAGAGACGACCTGGAGGAAAAGAAAAATAAGGCGAGAGAATTAGAAAGTATGGCCTGGCTAACGCTGAGACCATTCATCAACAAGCATCCTTCTTCAGATGATTTAACCCGGGTTCTCATGTTTTAGAAACCTATTTAATTTTACTGTCAATGTAAAAAAACGAATTGTTTAGTTTTGAAGTCTAAAAATAGCGTGTAGCTCTCTAAAAACAACTCCATAGCATTCATCTTAGCGCATGCGCCTGAAAAAAAAATCACCGGCATACTTTCTTACCGACATCGCACTTTTTAAAGATTTTTTTTCGAAGGGAAATCCATACTATGGGAGGATCCATACTATGGGAGGATTGTTTTAACTATCAAGCCGTGTAGCGTGTGCTAGTGTTTAGATTTTTAAAATTCAAAATGCCAACCGCATTTCTTGATGGAATTCCTCTTCATTGCTTTTCAATGGCCTCGTGTTATTGCGTTTAACTTCTTATTTTTGCCACGTTAAAACTGGCAGCCTTACTGATTCACTCGAGCGACGCTGACGTAAACACTCACAAGCCCTCATCCTGAGAGCCTCGGGGATCCTTGTTGCTGACCAAAACGATCGCATCCGGCTCTGGGAATGAGATTGTTAGGTAAACAACCTCAATCTCTCGAGTGCAAACCTAGGAATCCTTACACCTTGGGACACAACACAGGGAAAATGAAAGAAAAGGTCTTTCTTCAATTCTCCATTTCCTCATTCGGCTCTTCCGTTGAGATGCTTCGCATGGCAACATAATCTTCAGCGCTTTCACGCGTTTGTGTCACGTGTGTGCACGGCATGCATTTGTGCTTGCTTGGGAATTTGGATCCGCGCATGAATTCAAGAGTAGGTTTAGTGGGTCTAACTTCCTCTAAGCACAGAGCAGAAGCACTCATGGGGGTCTAGGTGCAAGCAGTTGACCTCCTTGCGCGCGGTACAAATTTTATGCGGGAGAGGGGCCGGGGTGGGTTGGTTGATTTTGCAGCATATTCGCAAACATAGAGTTGTACATCCATCACGCCTTGGTTTGCCGGCCGTGTATCGACGGCCGGTACAGAGCGTACTTGTCAATAGGCGTTCTTGAGGGTAGACCGTGGCCTGGGAATCTGAGCTGCCAGCCTTTCTCTTTCTCTAAAGAGAGAGACTGTTTCTGGACTGGACTGCTGAAGACCAGGTTGCCTAACCCGAAAGCATCGATTCTTTCACGAATACGAATCGCGTCGAGCGGTCGGACGGCGTCCCCCCCCCCCCCCCCCCCCCCCCCCCCCCCCCCCCCTTTTTTTTTTTCCCCTTCTTCCCCCCCCCTCCCCCCCCCTCTGGGCCGGCGGGGCCGCCCGCCGGGGCGGCTGGTTGTTTTTTTTTTATTATTTTTTTAAACAATAAAACAAAAACAAAAACAAAGGAAAGCAGGTGTATGATATACAAATTTCAACTCTTGGAAGCTTTAATCGATATGGGTGTTAACCTGGTGCATTTCCTTTCAGTCATGTGAAAACTGTATTGTTTGTTGGAAGCCGCAAGAAAAATTTGAGGACATTTTCAAAGGGGTAAGATAAGCTAACTAAGGGAACTGTATTCCATTCCCAGGATGCCATTAAGGTTTAGAATAAATTAATGAATCGTGAAGCGCGAAGGGTTAAAATATGACTAGGTCAGACCTTACTGAAAAAATAATAAACCGGCAAAGCCAGGCAAAGGCAATCTTTTCTTTATGAACTGGTCACGAATTAAAGGCGGGAAAACGTGATAACCTGATAAATTAGGTTCGTGTTTATAGGAACTGGTAACGTATCAATAGGGAGGGCGTGGAATAGGCTTCAACACAACCATTTGAATATACGTCTTGAGTGCAAGTTGGTCATCAGAATAACTTTGTTTTAACTATTTGCTATTTCGCACCTTCTACAATGTGAAATTGATATCATCCTTTGAAATTTCGTAGCGTCTTTCTGCAGGTATCGTCATCAAAGAATTAAAGGAACCAAACAAAAGAGCTGTCTTGAGGGCTTTATTGTTTGGTTGTATTGTTTCTTTTGTTGTACGTAATTTGTAATCTGTGCCTCGGTACCTACAGAAGTAAACCCTTTTCTTGACAACTCGTGCACTCTTCACAAAGCGATTTTTTTTAACCGAGAGGTTACATTTAATCAAACCTTATTAATTTGATATTCTCTCTGTTCCCAGCCTTTCAATTCGGAGCGAAGCGTTACCATGCTTCATAGGTAAGTTAAGCGATCACATTTTGCTAATCATTCAATTGTAGATTGCAACAGGTATTTCCCTAAATGGCTTTAAACTACTTATGTCCGTATTTTTCAATTCCTTCGTCAGATTTGAGTTTTCTCAGTGCGACATATGGTACATGAGATTCAGTTTAGACTACGAACAGAGGGTAAGAAAATCACATGAGTAGGATGGAACGTTTCATGATAGGCTTTGTTCATCGTTCGTTCAATTTTGTTATTTATAGCAACATTTCGACCGTTTTCTGATGGTATTCATTTAGTGATCACCGCGTCGATTTGTTTCTGTTTGGTTTCGTTGGCCCCATTAGTTTTCAACTTCAACTGGAGGCCTTTCAGACAAAATGGAGAACATTTATTATCAAACCCCTCCCTTTTTATTCCGTATCCTTTCATGTCAATGATATTCCTGTTAGTTGCATTTTGGGCAGGTTATTCTAATTTTTTTAAAATCATCTCACCTAAATGGCCATAACGTGTGAGTGTCGGTGTTTCTTTAGAGGGAGATATGGAGGGAAGGATTACCTTCCTTACGCATCGTTTTCCATCTCCGGCTTCCCTGAAGAAAAGCCTGATGTTCAGCCTAGTATACAGGACATGGATCAGTAAAATCCATAACCTAGCACACATGTAGCTGAACTCTAATCCCTCCCCATCCCTGAGGGTACGTCCCTGCGTAGTTTTTGCTAGGGAGAGTGCGGGGTTACTATCGAACCAACAGTCCAACACGTACTGATTATTAAAAAATAATTAATGAATCCAATTAGTAAATGGTTGCGTCGAATTTATTTTACAGCTCATGGCTGTTGGAAATCAAACAGGAAAGACCTTTGTTTGGGATATTGGTGTGGAAGATCCAAGGAAAGCAAGGTAATACGTTTTAATGTCTCACTGGATATCACATTTTACCATTCGCTCCTTTTCTTGATTTGCTATCCCGCGCGACTGCCCCGTGGGAATGCCCGCATAGCCTAGTTCCCAGGCCCTCTCCTTTTCTGGTTAGAGGTTACTCCTCGCAGTCTAAGTTTGGTTGTTCAAAACAAGCTGCGATGCTTCAAAAGAGCAGAATCTTTTCTCTCAATTGCCTAACTGAAGTCATGAGTAGACGTCCTGTTGGACTTTTTAGTTACAATATTGAGTTTTTTATTTGCCCAGATCAACAACGTTGGTTCACAACAAGTGTGTTTCAGCCATTAGGCAGACGGGCTTCAGCAAAGATGGCAGGTTAGTGAAAGGCAACAAGATCAATTTAGGTTTCTGGGAAACTGACCACCTACCCCTCCCCTAAGCCAACATTTTCCCTTAAGTGAGAAGTAAGTGTTAATGTTGACTTAGGGGAGGGGTGGGTGGTCAGTTACTCAGAAACCTCGATTATCCCTTACTGTCTCTACTTTTGAGGAACTGGCATCAAAGTTAGGTGATTTTTTTGTCTAACAATACTATATTTCCTCGAGTAAGCGTCTCTTTTATCACCCTCACCCTTCACGAACAATAGTGAGAATAATAGAAATGTGATAGGGTTTTTGTAGCCTGTTGAGTAAGTGAGAAAGATCTTTTTTTTTCGTTAAGTCAGTGACATATACGGCTCGGAACCAAGTACTCTCAATAGGAGTCATGCGCACTGCCTTAATTCTGTTTGTAAATATGGCGGCTCTGGGCTGGCTCACTACACATAATAGGCTGATTTAGCAACAGAACGGGAACGTCAGTTGACGACGGCGCGCGCAAATCAAACAACTGGCTTGACCAATGGCAGAGCGGCAACACCGTAAGTCGTGTTTAGTCCTTTCCGCGCGCTTTCCCGTCGTCAACTGACGTTCCCGTCCTGTTGCTAAATCAGCCTAGTTAT